ATTTTGAAATCAATTGGAAAAAGAATGAAATATAAACAGATTTATTAAAATAACAAAATGAATTACGGCGCGGTTTAATACAGTTGAGGAATGACTGTGTATGTGTATGTGTCTATGTATGAGAAGTGAAAGAAGGAGGAAATAATAAAAAAAAGGTAGGAATATGAGTAAAGAATTAGTCGGGTGAGGGGGAGCGTGAGTGGTCGGGTGAATTTAAGGGAGTGGATAGTTCGGAGAAGGAAACTGGTGAATAAGATATCGAAGGGGTTGAAGGCGGGGACGCGTGTGTAGGAGAAGAAGGCGGAGTATCAGGGGAAAAACGAGGAAGGAGGTAAGGGGATAGGAGTGTAGGATCCGGGTGATAATCAATTCCTAACGCTATATTAACTATGGCTCAGAGGTAGTGGATCTGGGACGTAAGTTCATCTGGATCGCTAATATCAAAAGCTTCCTCGAACGTTCGGAAAACGTGGTGGAGGGTTATCCCTATGTTGTTATAATGACCCACTAAAACGGATTTCAATAATATGGGGAATTAATAAGATGGTGGTAGAAAAGGTAGAAGCTAAAAAAAAACAGAACTTACTGCTGACTCCTGTTATCCTGAAGGTGAGCAAAAATAAAATTGATGTTTGGTAGCTCCTGCTCGATAGGTCACGTTGTGCTCGTCCACTCCCTTCCAATTGTCCAATTATGGCACAATAGCAGTGATTCAAACTTTTTATTTTTTTTTGGTCCCAAAAATAAAAAAATAAGACAGAGGACGTAAAAGAATGAAATATAAACAGATTTATTAAAATAACAAAATGAATTACGGCGCGGTTTAATACAGTTGAGGAATGACTGTGTATGTGTATGTGTCTATGTATGAGAAGTGAAAGAAGGAGGAAATAATAAAAAAAAGGTAGGAATATGAGTAAAGAATTAGTCGGGTGAGGGGGAGCGTGAGTGGTCGGGTGAATTTAAGGGAGTGGATAGTTCGGAGAAGGAAACTGGTGAATAAGATATCGAAGGGGTTGAAGGCGGGGACGCGTGTGTAGGAGAAGAAGGCGGAGTATCAGGGGAAAAACGAGGAAGGAGGTAAGGGGATAGGAGTGTAGGATCCGGGTGATAATCAATTCCTAACGCTATATTAACTATGGCTCAGAGGTAGTGGATCTGGGACGTAAGTTCATCTGGATCGCTAATATCAAAAGCTTCCTCGAACGTTCGGAAAACGTGGTGGAGGGTTATCCCTATGTTGTTATAATGACCCACTAAAACGGAGGACGTAAAAGAATATGTAGTACCGAAACAAAACCGAAGACGAATTTGAGTCTAAGGACGTGTTTTTACAAGTCTGATTTTTGAAACTAGAATCTATGTGAATCTGTTCTTTCTGTCTCTCAGAATAGAAGTAACGGTAGAAGTTGAAGTAGAAGTGTCGCGGAGGCGGATTACCGCGGTTTTTATAGTGATAATCGGAGGTAGAAGCTATCAGGGTGGGTAGAGAGATGGCCTTTGAGGAAGGGGTGAATTGGTCTTAATGGGAAAAAGTCTCAGCCATTAGCGAAGTTAAAAGACATCGTGGGAGGAGATAGTTAGTTTTTGGAGATATGAATATGGAAGGGCTAAAGGGTGGAGCGTGGGTGTCTCATAGTTTTAGGTGGATATGATATGATTGGCTGAATGAATTAGGCGCGACAAGCGTGGAGGTGGTGGATTCTTGAGATAGAGAAATGTATACAAGTGGCCGGCTGGAAAAATCAAAATGCCGTAAATCAAAGGCTGAGATCAGATTTTACGACTATCAGTGAAGTAAGCTTTGTTGGTTGATTGATAGGGCACATATGGTTTTGGATTGGGAAGATGTAAGTTTCAAGTTTTAGAGCAGGAATGCTCTGTGTTGCTTTGTTTTACTGAAGGTTTGTTAGCGCGGAGTTTCAAATTTTTATAGCTAGGACGACGGACACACTTGGCGAACACTACCCAGATATAAACTTTAAACGTAGATTTTTACAACAGGGCACTGTTTCCTGTTATGGAATTTTCCCGAATCGCCTTTCATTTGGCGCGACGGCTGTTCGCCAGATGGGTCTGTTTCCTAATTTATATTTATATATGTATATATTCTTATTATAGTTATATTAGGAGAATATAAATCCGCGAGAGGAAAGAACTTTTACTAATTAAATCTGCAGGACGTAACACGTCTTTTGAAATTACTGGTAAGGTAAACAGTCATAATTTTAGATATTGGGACAACGAAAATCCTCATTGGATGCTTGAAGCACATACGCAGCAACCTCAAAAATTGAATGTTTGGGCAGGTCTTTATGATAATCAAGTGGTTAAGCCTTTTTTTATAAATGGGAATTTGAACTCAGAAACCTATCTGCAGCTTTTAACAGACCAAATTGTTCCATCAATACAGGAGACTGTTGGTGATAATTTTGATGATGTTTGGTTCCAGCAAGATGGGGCACCGCCACATTATGGACGCATTGTTCGGAACTATTTAAACGATACTTTCCCTAATCGATGGATAGGTAGAAGAGGAACAATCGAATAGCCACCGAGATCGCCCGACATTGCACCACTTGATTTCTTTCTTTGGGGCTACATAAAAAATAAAGTTTATTTCACTAAACCTCGTAACCTGGATGAGCTTCAACAACGGATCATAAACGAATGTGCTGCAATATCTCCAGAAATGACAAAGAGTGCGACTGACAATTTGTACGTCCGTTTAGCACACTGCCAAACGGTCAAGGGGGAACATTTTGAACATCTTTTGTAATCTCAGGCCGAGTTACAAGGTGCTTTGCCTTCGGTGGCCGGGACTAACTGAACCTTGCTTTTAGTGGTCGGGTTTGAAATACCTTGCCTTCAGTGGTCGGGTTTGAGACACCTTGCCTTCAGTGGTCGGGTTTGAGACACCTTGCCTTCAGTGGTCGGGTTTGAGACACCTTGCCTTCAGTGGTCGGGTTTGAGACACCTTGCCTTCAGTGATCGGGTTTGAGACACCTTGCCTTCAGTGGTCGGGTTTAAGATACCTTGCCTTAAGTGACCGGGTTTGAGACACCTTGCCTTCAGTGGTCGGGTTTGAGACACCTTGCCTTCAGTGGTCGGGTTCCGAGACACTTTACTTTTATTAGACTTCACGATCAGTGAAGTAACGTAAAACGCATAATTTTGAGAACAAGGTCAAGGTTGAAATCATATCCGAACGTAAAATTTTTCAATCTTGACACTTTTAGGTCAAAAGTATGGATTTTCAGTCCTAAAAAAGTCCGGTTTGACCTTAATAATAATCTTAACTCATGACCTTGAGAATAAGGGCAAGTTCACGGCTGAATGTCCCTCGTTGACCTCTACATTCTTATTTTTATGCGTAACATTGCTTCCTAGCAGGTGCATTTTCGAAGATATTCGCGTTTTCAGCCTAAAACGAGCTTAGACTTTTATGTGACCTTCAGAGGTCAAATTTGGCAGTGTTCAAAGTCATATCCGAACGTAAAATTATCCGATCTTTTCATTTCTGGGGTCAAAAGTATGGGGTCCCATTTAAAAAAATTGACCTAACCTTGAAATGATCTTCAAGGTTATTGTCGAGGTCAAATCCAAAGTCACCCTCAGATAGCCAGGAAAAAATCATAAAACCCAGCACTTCGCATTTTTTCTAGGACTCATATTTTTCGAATTATTCTGCTCTTCCGGGACTTTTATAACCCTATATAATATGATATTACTTATAAGTTTTTCCCAATTTATTTGGATCTAGTAAACTGATTGCAAAATGTATTTCTGGATTACAATAGTTTTTTAACGATAGCTTTATTCATTCTTACTTTTTCTTCATCTGTGAGCATTGAAAATCAATTGAAGTATCAACTACAAGAGAAAAAATATTAGTAAGACATTTTACAGTTTGCAGTTCGGTATATTAGAAAGCACAATTTTATTATGTTCTATGTTAGATATTGCTTTAGCAATTTGATTCAACATTTTGTATAACTTATTTATAAGCTCCTAAAAACCATGTCCAAAACCAAATCTTGTATCTCTTTTCTAATATCAAAATTTTTTTCATTACTGTAACCTGCCTTACTGCTTTGTTGAATTCAATTAAGTATAAAATATAATTATTAACATAAGTAGACCTATTTGGTTTTTGGTAATAACTTGAAAAAATAGCTTTAGAACCATATTTTTTCTTTATGCACTGATTTAAAACCAGTATTAATAATATGATAATTTTTTGTTTCTTTGATTATCTGTTTTTAGTTTTTTCTTATAGGTTGAATGCCTGATTGTTTTACTATGTTATTCATAAGCAAATTTAATGAATGTGCGCGGAAACCAATGTGAAAATATTTTTCATTCAGCAAAGACCATGCTACACGCATGTTAACTGGTAAAAAAATATACATTTCACATCTGCAACTTTTTTAAATTCCTTTGCTCTTTACAAAGTATGACTAATTTTAAAAAATTTCAATTTTAGAGTAGATATGATAAAGTTTATCAAATTCTGCCTCCTTATATAGGGTGTCCGATCTATGTCTCCACGACCTCTGTAAAAATTGTTCTAGGACACTTTGTGTATGCAAGACGACACAACATTTGCAATTATTAGCCCACAATGTTCGTAAATCGTTCCACTAACTTGACACACTCATGGTAGTGAAATCACGACATTGTAAGCATGAACGTTACGAGAATTAAGTGAAATGCACTTATACACGCTAACAAATTTGATGTTAATGATATTTGATATTAATACAGTTATTCTACTCTAGAACTTTACTTGCTGTAAAAAAGTGAAAAATCTCCCCATAACTTTAAAAAATTCCAATAAAAGTAAAATAACAAAAAAATATTTTTTCAATTTTTTCGGAAAAATATGAAAAACTTCACGGAAATTTTTCCAAAAACTATTTTTCCAGAAAATTTCGAATCTTGTATATAAGTATGTATAAGTAATTTCATAAAACATAGCATATATTTGCAGATAAAGACCTGTTTTAAAACAATCGAAAATGATTGGTTGTCGCTGAATACAGACAGCGAGAAAACTATTCTACAACGACAAACTGTATATGGACAATATCTGACGATATTCTATGCGGGTATGTCATGAAAAAATTCGGAAATAAAAAAAAATTAGGAAAGAAATTTTGTTAGAATTCAAGCGAGTTTTATGATATAATGTCCTTTATAAAATTTAGATATAAAATTCATATGATTTTTCAGTCTTCATGCAATTGACGGGTTTCCTCTATATGCTCAAGTCAATCGTATTGATACTAATAGAAGAATCCTCGAACTCCACCAAATTGGCTGTATCGAAACTACCTTTTCGCGTGGAATACGGCCATAAGATAGACCAACATTTCTATCCAATACTGCTCCATAGTTATTTAACGATATTTTCTCACGTGACAGCCACAGTTGCGACGGATACTTTGTACTTTGCTTTAATCCAGCACGCCTGTGGGATGTTTTCAGTTGTCGGGTGAGAATGTGACAATTAAAAATGATATATTGGAAATTATCAAGTTGTCCGGAAAATTCGTGTAATCATTGAGAAGTGTACTGTCAAGGAACCTGGAAATTTTCATAGGAAGATATTTTATTATTTTTTACGTAGAAAGGAAGAAAGAGAGAGAGAAAGAGAGAGAGAGAGAGAGAGAGAGAGAGAGAGAGAGAGAGAGAGAGAGAGAGAGGAGAGAGAGAAAGAGAGGGAGACAGAATTGACACGAATTTTGCGATCAGCTTGTTGAAATAATTGGCGAACGTTATCATTTTAGCAGTTTCCAGACATTCGCTGGAGCACATCGGCAAAGATAGTGACAGCAATTTTAATCTAAAGCCCGAGAAAACGGAAGATGACAATTACAAAAAAGCTTTGGACTGCTTGCGTAGGCATCTCCATGTAATAGAGTGCGTATGTGTCTGTTAATATATAGGGTGTCCAATTTTGAAGTTTACAGTGCTATATTTCACAAACCGATGATTTTATTGAAAAATGTTTCATACAAAAGTTGTAGGATTCAGAGGGGGACACCTGACAGCGACCTTGGTTTGACCTTGGATTGTCGTTTGAAGGTAAAGGTCAACTTTAAAATCCTAAATGTCAACTTTAAAATCCTAAATCCTAAATGGAACTTTCCATTTTTTATTGCATATTCTTATAACTCTTGTCGAGATGTTTTCAAAACACTACCTATTTTTGTCTTTTTCGTAACCCATTCCCAAGATATGAAGCTTCAAAGTTGACATACCGCCGACATTCGCATTACCCGATGTATACCTCGGAGAGGCTGCCCGGTCGGATTTGTACGATATAGTTTACTTTTCTTTGAGTATCACCTCGGTGCTATTTTTCCTCATCGATGGATAGGTCGGGATGGTCCAGTTTGGTGGCCACCAAGATCACCTTACTTAAACGGATTTTTATCTGCATTTTTGAAAAACGCAGTGTTCCATCAATTGCCAACGATGCGGCATGATATGATGCACCGCATAAAAAATGCGTGCCGAGCGATTCCAGCAAACATTTTTCTAAAATTCGTCAAAAGTTTCAAAAAGCGAGTTCAAGTATGCCGAGCTATCGATGGCGGCGTTTTCGAACATCTATGATGAATGAGGCCTCCCCCCCCCCCACACACACACGCACACGCACACACACACACACGCGCGCACACACACACACACACACACACACACACACACACACATACGCACACGTACACACACACACACATACGCACACACGCATACGCACACATAAAATCGGCCCTTTTTAGGACCGCTATGATGTGCAAATCCGACCGAGCAACCTCCCCGCGGTGTACATCGGGTAATGCGAATCCCGGCGGTATGTCAACTTTGAAGCTTCATATCTTAGGAATAGCTTACGCAAAAGACAAAAGTGGATAGTGTTTTGAAAACGTCTCAAGTACTACAAGAATATGTAGTAAAAAATGGAAGGTTCCCTTTAGGGTTTTAAAGTTGACTTTTACGTTACCTTCAAACAAAAATCCAAGGTCAAGTCAATGTCACTCTCAGATGTCCCCCTCTAAACCCTACAACTTTTATTTGAAACATTTTTCAATAATGTCATCGGTTTGCGAAATATAGCACTGTAAACTTTAAAATTGGACATCCTATACAGGGTGTCCCATTTTAATGCCCCACCTTAAATAACTCTTCAGTATTGAAGTTTCAAGGAAAATGATTTCAATAAAAGTTGTAGGGATTTAAGTGAGTTGTCTCATGATGACCTTGACTTTGATCTTGACCTCTATTTTCAAAGTCATTTGAAGGTCAACTTTCGTTTTTTAAACGGGAATCCTTATTTTTTATTATACTGTTTTTTTTCTACTAGTTAATTTGAACAACTTTTGTCTAAAACATTTTCTTATTTATCTAATATTTTTTGAGATATTTGAGGAAAACTTGATAACTTTTTCAATATTTAACTAATGATATCATGCTAACTATTTGTCGGAAGAAAAAGTGGTACTAGACTTCCTTGCTTTATTTAGTCTCAAGAATATATTGTTATAATAGCGCCTTGACTTTTGTTAATTTGATGATTTTGAAATTTCCAAAAATCAATAAGTTAACAAAAGTCAAGGCACTATTGTAACAATATATTCTTGAGACTAAATAAAGCAAGAAAGTCTAGTACCACTTTTTCGTCCGACAAATTATTAGTGACATATTATAAGTTAAATATTGAAAAAGTTATCAAGTTTTCCTCAAATATCTCTTCAATTATCTAAAAAAATATTAGAGAAATAGAAAAATGTTTTAGACAAAAGTTGTTCAAATTAACTAGTAGGAAAAAGTAGTGTAATAAAAAATAATGGTTCCCATTTGAAAAACGCAAATTGACCTTCAAAATAGAGGTCAAGGTCAAAGTCAAGGTCATCATAAGATAGCTCACTTAAATCTCTACAACTTTCATTCAGATCATTATCTTTGAAACTTCAATACTGAAGAGTTATTATGAGTGGGAAATTAAAATGGGACACCCTGTATATGAGACGTACCGTGTCAATCGGATCACCGGCGTTCTCAAAAATTGACGCATCGGATTGGGACGAGTAAGAGCTCAAATTGTTCGTCTACTCGAATACTTCCAGAAGCAACATGGCCTTTCTGGAAATTCAAAGCAGTGACTTCCAGGTGGCACTAAATATATCGAAAGATGCACGAGAACCATAATGTATTTTCAATGAAATTATGAGAAATCCCGAATTTTCAACGTAAAATACGGTAGCTCATATATTTTGATCCGCTAAATCCGAATCTAAGATCAGAAGTGCCCTTAAACATCGCAGTTCTTTCCTAATCCCAAAAAGAGCTCAAAAAGGATCAAAAGCCTGTATCCGGATACTGTGTTGGATATAGAGTCATTCAAAATAGATTCTAATACTAGTAGTTAGTTCATCAAGTCTAAATTATAAATACTACAATCGTCCTGGGACGAGTTGTTCCTAAACCACAAAAAATATCTCAAAAATCCCTAAAAATGATCTAAAAGTAAGACTGTGATGCTGTCCAGCCGGTTAAGGCAAGACCAAACGTTGTCCGACCAGTTAAGGCAAAACCAATGCGAAAGCTCTCTTTTCATGGACTAAGAAAAGTTCTTTCGGCATGAATTTTTCTTTTATAGTAAAGAAGATCATGAGGACACACGTCAATTCCTTGGTAAGAGATTTTGCAATGCTCCACCTGTTACGAGAATATAAATGAGCCGTTTATTTTGAAAGTGGCCTAAGTCCATTTGTCAATTATTTCCAGTTGCCCGTGGTTACATGTACAACTTCAAGTTATCTATCAATAAAGCATTTAAGGTTACTTGAGCCGTTTATTTTGAAAGTGGCCTAAGTCCATTTGTCAATTATTTCCGGTTGCTCGTGGTTACATGTACAACTTCAAGTTATCTATCAATAAAGCATTTAAGGTTACTTATATTCCGAATAAATACGACAATTCTGGATACATACGTTTTCAGAGTTAGTTCAATAATTGAGCCGTTTATTTTGAAAGTGGCCTAAGTCCATTTATACTTAAATTAAGATATTTATTATTGATAATGTCCGAAGGCAATGATGAAGGTAATTTTAATTAATTAGTATTTAACAAGTTAACCTCAGTTTTTGGACAATTGCATTAGTTGAATAATCAGTACGTTTAATTAATGCAGTTAAACAAAATTTATGCAATATACATATACAATATACATATTATGTACTTACAATTAAATATAAAACTTAAAATTTAATATTAAATTTTAGAAATTATTTCTCCCATGGGGAAGAACAAAACGACAAGACCATTTAGTTCAGATAGTGAAGAAGAATTAGTAACTAATGATTTCAAAGAAAATCGAAAAAGAAAGAAAATTATAGAACAATATTCGTCTTCAGAGGATGAAGATACAGATAACAATGGAGAAAAGATTGATGAAACATACATCCAAAAAGTGCGAAAGATTAAACGGAATTCAGGAAAAAGATATTGTACTCAAACCGGAAATATTGTACCTTCAAAAGTTTTCCAAACAAAAATTGCCGTTGTCAAAAAGCTTGCATAAAAAATTACGAAGAAGAAAGAAAAAATATTTTTGAGAAGCTTTGGTATTTGGGAGATTTTAATAAACAAAATATATTGCTTTACGAAGCTATCGAGCGCAAAACTGTGAAACGAAGACGTCAAAAAAACGGAAAAGGTTCGCCAAGAAATTGGAGTTTTAGGTATTTGTTAAATTCTAAAAACGAAAAAGTTCCCGTCTGTAAAAAATTCTTTTTGGATACCTTTAAAGTAAGTGAAGGACGCTTAAAACGTGTATTAAACTCTGCAAATGTAGGAAATGATTTACGTAGGCGTATGGTTGGATCATCAAGAAAAATTTCTGAGGAAGAGAAAAAGCACGTTCAAAACCATATTAAAAGTTTTCCTAAATTTGAACTTACCATTATACCAGATCTCATAATCCTAATAGAAGATATCTACATCCTGATCTAACTCTTAGGAAAATGTTTAATTTATACGAGCTTCATTGCAAGGAAAATAAAATAAAAGCCGTTAATGAGTGGACTTACAGAAAAATATTTAAAAAAGATTTTGATTTACATTTCCACCAACCGAGCAAAGATATATGTCAAAAATGCGACTTATTAAACATCAAAATTAAAGCATCGAATGATGATGAAGAAAAGAATAAACTTACAGAAGAACATGATGTCCATTTAAGACTAGCAGAATCAGCTAGGAAGTCACTAAAACAAGATCAGGAACAAGTATCACGCAATTCAGATTATTATTTCGCTTTTTCGTTCGACTTGCATTACCTTATCCAAAATTGACTACTTCAGTAGCATATTATAAACGCAATATGTACGTTCTAAATTTGGGTATTCACAATTTTCATAACGATAATGTTCACATGTACGTTTGGGATGAAACTATTGCATCAAGAGGTGCTCAAGAAATAGCTTCATGCATCCTAAAACATGTTCAAAATTTATAAGAAGTGAAAGACACATTATAGCTTACAGTGACATGTGTGCAGGGCAAAATAGAAACATTAAAGTAGCTTTAATGTGGTTAAAAATTGTCCAAACTGTTGAAAATAATGTGGAAATCATAGATCACAAATTTTTAATATCAGGACATTTGTTTTTACCAAATGATAGAGATTTTGGCGTGGTAGAAATGGCATTAAAAAAAATAATTTACTGTTTGTCTCCCGAGATTATTACAATATTATCAAAAAGTGTCGGAAAGGTAATAACTTTATTGTACATGAAATGAGACAAGAAAATTTTGTATCAACAAAATTATTAGAAGACGCAATTTTTAAAAGGGTAAAGAATTCTAACGGAGAATCAATAAACTGGTTAAAAATATGTTGGATGCGTTTTGTCAGAAATGAACCGTATAAAATTTTCTATAAGACATCAATGAATGAGAACGAAAATTTTAAAGTCCTGAATTTATTACCACATCGGGGTAGACCAAGAAAGTTCGAAAATATTGTATTGACACCACTATATAAAAATCAGACAAATTACAACAGCAAAATTCAAGGACATAATTGACCTATTACGATATATACACATCATGATTTCTTCAAATCCCTTTCACACACACAAAATGTAGATGAGTAGTAAATTGTTTTGTAATTTATATTTGTACGTTGTAATTTATGTTTGTAATTTTGTACGTTATGTAGTTAAAAAATGTTTTGAATTGCATAAATTATGTTTTTGAAGTGTTGTAAAGATATGTAAAATAAAATGAATATTGTTTTTTTCAATTTGAAGCATCTTATTATTATGTTGAATGGACTTGGGCTCCTTCAAATTTTATAACAAATCTGGTTGTTAATTTTGAAAGTGGCCTCACTCCATTCTTGGTAAGAAAACGCATATTATTCACTTAATAATTGTCATTATTTTAATAGGGATTATAAATTTAATACCTTTAGATACACTTAAGCAGTATGACTCATTAGTATCCTGTACGTATATTTTTAATTGCATTGAAACACAAACCCTTAAATATCTCAATTTAAGTATAAATGGACTTAGGCCACTTTCAAAATAAACGGCTCAAATAGCTTATGCATTAATATCTCAGTCTGATGATACGTTGGAAGCTATATTCGGGTGTTCCAAAACCTATGGCTACAGTGGCATATGAGATCGGAGAAATATCTCAATCACCGAAAGCGGAACAACGCTTGAGAAGCAGAAAAATATAAAAGTGCATGAAATTAACCATAATTAGCTGAGCGATGTTTTATCTTGCCTTGATTGGCCGGACAACGCTTGATTTTGCCTTAACTGGCCGGACAACGTTTGGCCTTGTTTTAACCGGCTGGACAGCATCACAGTCTTATTTTCAGATCATTTTTAAAGATTTTTTAGGTATTTTTTACGGTTTGGAAACAACTGTGACGTCCCAGGATGATAATAGTATATAATTTAAATTCGATGAACTAAATAGTATTAGAACTTATTTTTAATGGCTTTATATCCAACACAGTATCGGATATCCTCTTTTGATCGGTTTTGGGTGTTTTTGAGCTGTTTTTAGGATTAGGGAAGAACTACGACGTTTAAGAATAATTTTAATCTTAGATTCGGATTTAGCGGATCAAAATATATGAACTATCATACTTTACGTTGAAAATTCGGAGTTTCTCATTATTTCATCGAAAATACATTATGATTCTCGTGCATCTTTCGATATATTTAGTGCCACCTGGAAGTCACTATTTTGAATTTCTATAAAGGCCATGTTGCTTCTGGAAGCATTCGAGTAGACGAACAATTCGAACCTTTACTCATCCCGATCCGATGCGTCAATTTTTGAGGACGCCGGTGATACGGTTGACGCGGAACGTTCCATACATATTATATTTGAAGAAATATATACTTATAGATATCAGTATATCTCTGAATATTATTCGTAACCGTGTTCAATTTCGTAAATTCACAGATTCGCCGAACTGATTGAATCAACGTTTACAAATATCTTTCTAATCAGTATAAGTTTAAATATGATTGGCGGCAGTATATGCGGCATACAGGTAGCTCTCAATTTTATCATGAACGACTTATATTTTCAACTGATAGATAAAGTGATTATTTCCATGAATATCCAAAGAAAAATAAATGTTCGTTATGTGCTTCGAAAATTTTTTATAACCCAATAATTAATCATATACAAAAAGAGAAAGATCAATGTATACTTTAGGTACTGATAAATTTGAACGACGCAAAGGATATAGTAGCACCACTTGCTATATACATAGCTCAACTCATCCATATGTTCCTACAGTTCTGGCAAGCGCAATATCTGTTGGATTACAGCGCCATTCCATACGAGTCGATGTAAGAAGTTTTTCTGGAATAATTCGAAATATTCTATCTATTACCCCCACCTCTCGCTCCCTAACTCATTCTCTCTCTCTCTCTCTCTCCCTCCCTCCCACATTTTCACTCTTTAATAAATCGATTAAATAAATAAAGATATAACGACTACAAAGTCAAATAGATCTTTTCCTTCTATAATTACTTATGAGTTAATATTCAATTAATATCTCACAATTCAAGTAGTTGTAGAGGCAGTTGGTATTACACATCGAGAAGATGTAGAAAGCTTTTGCTCTTAATAATGAATAGGACTGTTTCACCGTGTAAGATAACCGCTGGTAAAATTATGTCGTTATCTATCGAAAGTTTCGGTGTGGTAAGTAAAACTATTATGTCTCAGGTTCTCCATGTACCACCTGTCTAAATGAAAATTCAATAATGACCATTTTACGCCCACAAGGTTTTAAAAACATCATTGTCTTATTTCACGATGCTGCGTTCTTTCCACTGACGGTTTCGGCATGCCTGTGCACACGCTCGGTTGAGCTTGATGTAAAATGTAAAAATACTTATTAACACATGACCTATCATAATAACTTTTGCGGATCGTCTATCTAAATTATATTTTTTAACAGAGTTTTTAAAAATATATGAAACAACTTTGCGACAATGAATTGTATATTTTTAAAATGCGAAAACCATAACGTGCAATAGCAAGGTTGGGAAATAACGTGTTGTAAGTAACGCATTAATATTACAAGTTATGCTTTTTAATAACAATATGGTAGCAGCGTTATTTTTGTTGTTGTAACGATAACTGTTTGGATATCATGTTAATCCAATATGATTGTAGGATGTTTGTATTGATTGATTAAGCGTACCTTCGATTCTAGCTGTGTATCGAAATAGAGAAATTATAATTAACGACTGTTTCATCTGAATTACTTGCATCATCAAAGTTATTAAAAATGTATGAAGAATAATTTTGGAATAACAAACTTTATATGTTTTAAACTAGTATGCAAAGGCAACGATATGCAGTAATTATATCGAAAAAAACCTCTGCTTACGATCTTCTCTCCGTGATAATTGGTTAATCATCTAGTGAGAAGAAATCATCGCGAAATCTCGTCAACTATCTTGTTTTCATAGTTTATTGTTTACGATTATTTCCGAAGCATGTAAAGTTCTCGTGTTCAACTCGATAACAATGAAGCGAATATTATTATATAATATGCTATTATGATATCCTCGCGAGAAGGAAACCGTATGATAAGCTACAGCTTTCATTTGCGATGATGAGAAGAAGCGGTATCAACGTGAGAAGAAAACCGCACGACATAGCATGTACTATGTAACCATACTAAACTTTCAGATATACTTAATCGACAGCATGTGATGTGGTTACCCATAGTATCCCTTTGGAATACGATGTATAACCACATCACATGCGATATGAGAAGAGTGCGGCAGTATCAATTAGGCTAGAGAAAGAGAATTACTAATAATGCGCATGATGACATAATAGCAGTCATATCTGGTATGGAATTGAGAACTGATGGTAATGTTCCCCTGAGAGTATATTCCGTGCATCGAATGTTTACGTAAAATGCTCAATAGCTAGTAATCTTAATATTTGTAATAATGGGCGAGGAAAGCGACTTTTGGCAAAATGAATATTACGCAATCCATAAAAAGTACATGTCGTTAGTAGGAATATGGCCGTACGACGACATGCGTAAAAGATATCTACGTTTCTTTCTCTCATTTACGATGTCCTTCAGTGTTATTGTGCCCCAGGTATATCATATATCGTATTTTGAGACTATCGCATTTTTCAAGAAAGTACTCGCGGCGTGAGTAGTAAACTTGGCATAATAATCGCGCAATAATTAATTCTTACGATAATAATATATTCTTATTATTTTATAATATTCAAAATTCAGACACTTCAACGCAGCTCGTATTATTAATTTTAAGATATCATACATCCTAGTTGGCTCAATCGACATTGATACTATTTTCGAATGCGTGCCACCGATATTTATCACTACAGTTTCCAGTTATAAAATATTTCGCTTAATGCTGAACAACAAAAAGGTGAGTAATGATCATACTTCACATAGCAGTTAATGTAATGCAATCAACTGAGACAAATAGTTAGACTACAGTAGTAAAACAAAGCAGGTTCTAATCCACTTTTAAAATGAATTTAAAAAAACCGCACCTTTTTTTAATGAAATCTTTGTGAACCTGACCTTTTTAATGAAATCTTTTTGAACCTGACCTTTTTAATAAAATCTTTTTGAACCTGATCTTTTTAATCAAATCTTTTCGAACCTGACCTTTTTAATGAAATATTATAATTAACCCCTCCCTCCTATTTATTGATACTCCCCTATTGATACTCCCTCTTTATTGATACCCTCCGTCCTCCCAAGAATTGTTGGATTCTATGGGCGAGATGGCGGGCGGCCGTGACGTCACGCACATGGCCGGAGGAAAACGTGCCGGGATGTAGGTAGGCTCGAACCTAGGCCCCGCGCGGTTGCTATCTGAACGCTCGAACATTCTAGACCACCGTCGCCTATTGCTAAGTAGACGTCACGTTTACGGATAAGATGGCGGCCGTGACATCACACACATGTCCTGAGAAAAACGGGCCAGTTGTTGCTAGACTCGAACCTGGGTCCTGCGGCTACTATCGAACGCTCCAACCTCCTAGACCACCGTCACCTATTGTTAGTTGATGTCACGTTTACGGGTAAGATGGCGACCGTGACGTCCCGCACATGTCCAGAGAGAGAAACGTGCCGGGATGTAGGTAGGGTCGAACCTGGGCCCCGCGATTACTATCGAACCTGGATCCCGCGATTACTATCGAACGTCTATCAAACGTTTATCGGACGTCTCTCGAACGTCTATCGGATGTCTATCGAACGTTTCTCGAACGTCTCTCGAACGTCTCTCGAACGTCTATCGAACGTCTATTGAACGTCTATCGAATGTCTGTCGATGATTTAACGATGCGTGTCGTTGATCAAGAAGGACAATCGCACGATTTTTGAGGAGAAGAGATTACCATTAGATTGCACGTACGACGGCAACGATAATAAACATAATCTATGAAATGTTTGTGGTGAATCAAGTCGAACAGGAGAAACAAGCTGGAAATATATCTTTTACGAGACACGCGATTAACAGTACAAAATCCCTCGTTCGAAAGAATCTCAGCGCGTTGAACGTTGAATTTTTGAAATCTCTGGGATTCATCGTACAAAACGATTGAGAAAGATGATTAACATTTTGAACATTGGAAGTGAACCGGTCTTTGACGATTGCATCATCAAGATTGAGACACATACGAATCCATACGCTAACACAACGTTTGGATATAGCGACGAGATACGAATACCCATACAGCAACAGGATTTATACATATGCCATGCGAGAGTTATCTCTATGTCGAAGGAAAGGTGACGAAACAAGTTGCAGTCGATGGTGCGACTGTAACGTTGGGATATAATTGCGTTGCATTCATGTTTGATGAGATCCGTCGGAACTGGATGGTGTGGAGATTGATCGTAACAGAAACGTGGGAATAACTTCAACGCTCAAAAACTATGTATCGATATCTTCAGACGAAAATGCTGTCATGAAAAATGCCGCGTGGGATACGACTGACACTATTTCGCCGGACAGGTTTTGCGTACCACTCAGCGTATTGCTAGGATTCTGTGAAGACTACAAGCGTATAGTGATTAATGCGCGTCACGAATTGATTCTATTACGATCGCGCAGCGACAACAACAGTCTATTAGGATCTTCAACGCTGGACCCTAAGATTGAGCTATTCAAGATACAATGGCGAATGCCTCACGTAATCTTGAACGATATCAATAAACTTTCCATGCTGAAAACTTTGAAGAATGGACGATATTTGAGTATGAGTTTCCGCTCGTGTGATCTGTATGAATTTCCTCTATTGCAAAGCACGACCAAACACCAATGGACCGTCAAAACTGCTACTAATTTAGAAAAACCTCGATACGTTATCTTTGTGTTGCAGACTGGCCGGAAGATTGTTATGTCAGAGAATATAACTCATTTCGATGACTGCAAATTGATCAACGCGAAGCTCTATCTGAATTTAGAGTGTTATCCGTACGATGACATGAATTTGGACTTTGCAAAAAATAAATACGCAATACTTTACGATATGTATAGACGTTTCCGTAAATCGTATTATGGATGCAACAGTGCTGAGGTATGGTTAACAACTACCGACTTTCTGCGGCTAGGTCCTTTCGTGGTTATCGATTGTTCGCGTCAATATGAGTCCGTCAAGAGAACCACAGTAGATGTGCGGATAGAATTTGAGTGTAAGGAGAATATACCGGCGAATACTACCGCATATTGTCTCATTCTGCATGATCGTGTAGTTGAATATACTCCGCTAACCGATATAGTGCGCAAACTCAACTAACATCAGAAAGTATGTACGAGAAAAGAATAATACACGAAACAAAATGCTATAAACGGCATTTCTCTCCCGGACGTACCAAAAATTGTACGACGTTTAATAAAAACATTATTTCAAATGTACAGATGTTTCTTCCAACACGCTTATCCCCTTTCACCTCTTAGGATTTTATATGATAATTGTGTTTGATAAAAATACAGTTCTTCATTTGCGGTATGATGATTATTAGACGTCCGATAGACGTTCGAGAGACGTTCGAGAGACGTCCGATAGACGTTTGAGAGACGTCCGATAGACATTCGATAGTAATCGGGTCCAGGTTCGATAGTAATCACGGGGCCCAGATTCGACCCTACCTACATCCCGGCACGTTTCTCTCTCTGGATATGTGCGTAACGTCACGGTCATCATCTCACCCGTAAACGTGACCTCTACTAGCAATAGGCGACGGTGGTCTAGTAGGTGGAGCGTTCGATAGTAGCCGCAGGACCCAGGTTCTTCGAGTCTAGCAACAACCAGCCCGTTTTTCTCAGGACATGTGCGTGACGTCACGGCCGCCATCTTACCCGTAAACGTGACGTCTACTAGCAATAGGCGTCGGTCGTCTGGAAGGTTCGAGCTTTCGGATAGCAATCTCGGGGCCCAAGTTCGAGTCTATCTACATCCCTGCACGTTTTTCTCCGGACATGTGCGTGACGTCACGGCCACTCGCTATCTTGCCCATAGAATCAAACAATTCTGAGGAGGAGGGAGGGTATCAATAAATAGGGGGTATCAATAGGGGGTATAAGTAAATAGGGGGGATTAATTATAATATTTCATTAAAAAAGTCAGGTTCGAAAAGATTTCATTAAGAAGGTCAGGTTCAAAAAGATGTCATTAAAAAGGTCAGGTTCAAAAAGATTTCATTAAAAAGGTTAGGTTCAAAAATACTTCGCTAAAAAAGGTCCGGCTTTTCAAAATTCATTTTAAAAAGTGGGTTAGAACCCGCCTTGTTTTACTACTGAGTACTGTAAACTCGGATATGATAGTCATACGAAGAAGATAGCCATAAACTGTAATTCTTCTAATAATTGCTAAATGGTGCGTTTTTATAGTCACTCTTAAATGAAG